TGGAATATCCAAAGGAGCTCACTGGCCCTGCAAGACGTGTTTCAACTGGTTGAGGTGGGAACCAGCGCCAGATGAAGGGTCTGGCGTACAGGACTGCGTCTGGATTTCAGAAGTGACTTGAAGCTTTGTGTGATGTTCTGAATGTGTTTGTTCTTGATACTCAATAAAAAAAATCAGACCTCGATATCATTAGCTTGTGATTCTGAGGGCAGTTTCAGAATTATTCTCTGACCTCCTCAGGCACCAGACAGACACACATACATAATGAGGTACCCATACATATACAAAACATTTTTAGAAGTATATGTATGTGCACACACATACGTGTGTGTGTGTGTGTGTGTGTGTGTGTGTGTGTGTGTTTGAGACAACATCTCTTACTACATAACTCTTCCTGGGCTGAAACTTACTATGTAGACCATGCTGGCCTGGAACTCACAAAGATCCTCCTGCTGCTGCCTGCTTAGTGCCAGAACTAAAGGTGTATGCCATTGCAACCTACTTAAATACATCTTTTAAAAAATGCTTTAAAATGGAGCTGGAGAGATAACTCCTCAGTTAAGAGAACTAGCTGCTCTTGCAGAGGGGCTGGGTTCAGTTCCTAGCACCAATATGGCAGCTCACAACTGTAACTTCAGTTCCAGGGAACCTAATGATCTTTTCTGGCGTCTGAGGTCATCAGGCACCACACAGCACATAGTGCATAAACAATAAAAATATATATTAATAAATTAAAAATAAAATATATAAAATTATATATATATATATATGTATATATATATATATATATTCTACAAGTAAAATCTTTCTACCTATATACTGCACACTCCTCCTAGAGGGATTTTAGGAAATGAGTGTTGTTTAGGAAATGTATTGGCCACTAGGTGGCATGTTCCCCAGGATACTTATGAATGCCACCCAAAACAAACCTTAAACTTACTTAAAACATGATAAGGTGAAGATTTTGCTCTTTTTTTAAAAAAAAAAAAAACTCTATTGGGGTTCTCTAGTGTGAACTTTATAGGTACTTCAATTTCAAAAGGCTGGACATACCTAAATAACCCTGAAATTCTTCTCTTTTCTTCATCCCTCTGATAAGTGTTCACCTGAAATTACAGATGTTTCTCTTTCTTTTTAAGTGTGTGTGTGTGTGCAATGCATGCAGAGGCCAGAAGAGGGCACTGGATCCTGTTGGGGGCACGGAGGTCCTTGTACTCACAGAGAAGTAATAGGAGAAACAGGAATGTTTATCATGCCGCAGTGTCTTCTCAATGGAGGAGATAAAAATCAAATACCTGCATTTCCATCCAGGAAGCTGAGAATGGAATTTGTTAATGACCTGGTGACCTTTTGCTATTGTAGGGAGTCACCCTAGCCCCGCCCAATAGTCCTGGGGCAGGTACCAGGTGGACCCGGGGACTCACCCAGAAGGGCGTGGTGAAGGAAAGCCGGGGTGACGTAAGGGAGCTTCTTAAGGGGCTGCACGTGGGGACCAGGGGCCCCTTTTGTTCTGGCCGCGCTGGCTGGGTTCTATAACCTAGCTCTGGCCTGTGTTTTACCTTGGTGTCTTCTGGAATAAAGAGACATTAATCTTACATGCTATGGAGGCAGATCTCACCCAAATCGCCCAGAATGATGGTCTCAGACTCTTCCCTCCCTAGACCATTACCCATTCTTAGGAGAGATGTCACAAGTACTTTATGGCCTGCTGACCTCTATGCTGTGGTCAGAGACCACACTAGATTCTAGGTCTCTTAGCTAAAGAACCCACCTCACGGTCATATGGACTTTGTACAGGAGTCCCCATGTAGTCACACCTTGAGCTTCACTGTGCACCTAGAATTGGACTTTTCCCAAATTGTACTGTGTTTTAAGTATGCTGACAATGAACCACCTGGCATTAGACTCCCCGAAGTCTGATCTAGGTCACAAAGTCAATCTGCACCAGATTTTCAGTCTCATCTCCCATATGACATCCGCAGGGAACCCCTCAGGATCCCCTGGAGCTGGATGTTCAGGTGGTTGTGCACCTCTTGATGTCGGTGTTGGTTACTGAACTCAGTTCTTCTGAAAGAGCAGGAAATGATCTTAATCACTATGGCATCTCTCCAGATTTTTTTAATTTGATTTTTTAAAATCATTGTTTTCCTAATTTGTACATATTTACTTTTTAAATATATGTAAGAAGAGAAAAGAAAGAAAGGTCACCTATAGTCCATGCCACTCTTGTGGTACATTTCTTTCCAGACTTTTTCTACTTGAATATTTATCTATAAATACACTTTGGATATGTATTAGCATTTTCTCTTAGTAGCTCATGTGCTACTAAGAGAATTTCCTATTCCATTTTCCTATTCATATACAATTACAAAATGGCTGTGTGGGATTCCATTATCCTTTCCTTTTGCTTTTTCTATTTTGGGTTTGTTACTTGATATGTTTTTTTAAAGCAGTAGGGGAGATGTCAAAGTGAATTTGGAGAGAGGAGAGGAATATTGTTTTTCTTTCAGGTTTCATGTTTGGATTTAAATTTTTTATTCCTCAAGAATTTCAAAGCTGTGTACAATATATTTGATCACATCTATCTGCCACTTCTCCTTCATCTCTCCCAGGACTCCCTCCAAACACATCCCAACTTCATGTCATATACTGATATAGATATGTAGATATCCCAGAATCCAATAGTGCTGTCTCCATGCACATAGAAGTAGAGGCATCCATCAGAGCACAGGCAACCTCCCAGTGACCACATCCCCCCAAAGAAGAGTCTCCCTCCCCAGCAGCCATCAACTCTTAATTCCTCCTCAGCTAGAGGTGGGGCCTTTGTGAGCCCATCTTTTATCAAAAGTGGAATTTTGACTGGTTGGTCTTGTTCAGCTGTTGTGAGTTCCTGTCATGTCCAATATACATTCTTTATTCCTCCTTTTCCTTGATATTTCCTGGGCCTGGGGAGTACTGGAGAGGGGCTGATATAGATGCCCCATTTAGGGCATACTGTGCCCATCTCAGTGTCCATCTATGAGCAAAGTCATTTATTCCAAACACTTGGAGCAGTTCTGCCCACTGTGGAAAGAAGCTTCTCTGATCAAGGTTGAGAACATCACAGATCTACAGGGATAAACATAAACATTCAGAAGGATTTAACAATATAATCATTTAGCAAAATAGCAATAGTAGATCCACACCCCACCCCACCCTACCCCATGCCACGCCATGGTCTATGAGCTTCCGGGCCATAGGCTTTTCCACCGGTTTACAGTACCAAGCTTTAGTACTGTACCTGTGCAGCAGGCCTCAAATCCAGTTAGGAAGTGGTTGGTTATCCGAATTACAGTCATGACACTATTTTGCCATCAAAAGAGAGAGGTATTCAATTCGTACAGATAGCATAATGTTGAGTGGGACTAGACAAGGCCCTGGATATATACATGGAGAATGAAGATGTGTTTAAGGGTCAGACTGATGGGGGAAGTGCTTCTGTGTATGTGTTTGTCTTATTGAATGATAAATAAAGTAGTAGTGTTTGGCCAATGAGGCAGCAAGTTAGGTGGGACCAGGAGTCAAGGAGGATCCTGGGAAATGTAGTAGAGATCCAGGCAGGAAGTGACATAGCAGGCAGACTCATATATAAGCAAGGACAAGAAGGAAGTCGTTCCTTTTCTCTTGCTCTTCCTCCTGGTCTCTGCTCTGGAGTTGCCTTGTGATCCGGCTGCAAGAAAGGGCGCCAGCAGAAGGCGTCCTTGATAAGATAAGTCTTATAAAATATATAGATTTATGATATAGTAGTATATAGCTAGTAGATGAGAAATCCTAGTCATTGGCCAAGCAGCATTTGTACCTAATATAAGTGTGCGTGTGTTACTTGGGACCTTAACATGGTGGCGGGTGGAACTTGGGCGGCTTGGTGGAAAGACTTATTGTTACAACAGACTGAAGTCCTCATAGGTTAAGGATTCAGTTTACTATTCCAAAGGCAAAGTTTAAAGATTTCTGCAGGGTACTGTGAATTGGATGAAGTTCACCTAGATGGCAGTTGCAATGTTATACAGGAGTTTTCAGGGCACCCAGCCAAATCCTGTCACTTGCTGGGTTTTTGCTTGTTTGTTGTTTGTTTGTTTATTTTGGGGGTGAGGTTGAAAGGCACAATCCCAAAGATCAAAATACTGAGTGTTAAAGTTCTGAAATCCCAAGTGGGAATTCCAACTGGGAGAGGGGGAGAGGCTATTTTAAAAGAGGGATGCAAATTTGGGGAAGTGGATGAGTCTGTGGTTGTTTGTGGGATAATGACATCATTTTGGGTGAAATAAGTAATGAGAAACTTGCAAAGCCTCACTTTGGGTATCAGTGAGGAGGTCCCCAGAGGAGCTCAGTGTGTGTGTCTGAGTGGAGAGGGCAGGAAAGGCCCCCTCTCAATGCTGTGAGCATCACTCAGCATGGAACGGTCAAGATCAACCTTCTGATCACCCACAGTAGATAAAGTGAGTACTGAGACCCCATGTCCTTCAAAGCTTAAGCGATTCCCTGCTGCAGTCTTTATGTGTACGAGTGTTTCCAGGGAAGGGCAAACAGCTGTTAGTTCTTCCCCCAACCCCATTTCTGCCCTACCTGTCTCAGGGACTGACCTGTGAGGATGATGTCTCTCAGGCTTGTCTTCCAGCTTCAGGCCTTGTTTAGTCCACAGGAATAACCAGGCGAAGACAGGACAGGAGGAGTGAAATTGAGGTGTTTCTCCACTCAGTACCATCTGGCTGGTGCACTGGATTTCCACACGAGCAGATCCTTCTGAGCTCATGGGCTCCAGGTCTCTCCAGCCTTCAATAAATACTGTCTCCCTTTGTCTCTTCAGTTTTAAGGGTGATGGTGGTGTGTCAGTCCCTGAG